TGTAATGGTAGATACATGCCATTATATACATTTGTCAAAACCCAAGAACTGCATAACACAAAAAGTGAACCTCAATGTGAACTATGGACTTCAGTTAATAATAGTATCAGTATTTGCTCATCAATTGTAACAAATGTACCACACTAATTGTTAGGTGAATGATTCTGGTTCTTAAAGTGACTGAGGCAGACCCGTATCACCTGAAGGATACATTCTTGCAGAGGTAAGTGGGCCCATTGAGTTGTTTTTTGCTTTGGAGAAGACAGCTCTTACTAAGCCCGGGCCACATGGCAACAAGCCACCTGTGTTAGCCCAGAGCTTTCGCTATAAATCTCCTGTGTTTGCTCACAAACCACTTGTGCTAGCTCCTGGCTTTGGCTTCCAGCCACCTGTCAGCTCGTGCCACTCGGCTATATATAACAAGCCCCATTCCTCTCCTGGGTGTAAAAGATCTGCCATTTCACTACTAAGGCGTGGCTTGTCGGTAAGTTACCTTACACTCGATGTAATTTTGGAGTTGTCAGCCTCTTTCTGAGGTCTCTTGGCCTTGGGAAGTTTTCCCAAAACTAATGCTAGCTGTTAATAATAGGAGATACTTGGATGGGATGAGGGAGGTATATGACCACTGATTTATCAGAAATAATGAAGGCTAATTCCATGTTTCTCCATAAGCTTCCTTTCATGAGTTTCTCCCTGTACTTCATACCTAAGAGAGCATTTTTGTCTGGGGAAGTACAGCTAATGGTGAAATATGAGACACTAACCAAAGAGTGTATGTGGAAAATAAAAACAAAAGCAAGAACTTTCCCTTTAGTTAATGATACCACTTCTGTTTACTTGTGCTTCCAGACCGCAAAGGTTATCTTGAGTACGGCTAACACTAGAATACAATTGTTTTGAATAGGAAGATGGTATTAAATATATTTTTAAAATAATCTGGGATGTGTAGGTATAAAGACTAGACAATTTAAAGGATTTTTTTCTTACAATTTCATAAACTGGACAACATGTCAATAATTATTTGAGCTGATGCCAATGTTATGTAGCTGTTAAAAGGTCTAAAATGTAACAATCTTTACCACCAAACTACAATCCTGTTTATTTTTAAAGGCCCTGAAAATTCAGAAGCTAAATATTTCCAAAAACTGAAAGACAGTGAAAAGACATTAATCTAGAGTGCAGTGACTGGAGAAAACAAAAAACAAAAAACACAAGAGAAACAGGAATTCTGCCTGCTTTTTTTAAAAAAGATATTTTTATCACATTGTTAGATAAACACTAACTTGTCATTAAGCAAGTGCAGACAGCAACTAAGACAAATGAAGAAAAACTGCTACTTACTGTATCCCTTCCAGTTTTAGGATTAAAGTAATGTGGCAGCCTGATTGCCTTGCTACACAAACAACCCAAAGCTACTGAGCAGGGAGGAGCACTCACACCAAACACTGGGATGGGAGTTAGTAAAAAACTGGGGGATGGATTCTGATTGACAGAAATCTGATAAATTGATGATCATCTTTACCAACCTCTATCATGCTCACATTCAAATGTGTCCGTTTCCCTACAATAACCAGTCACATGTTCTCTCTAATCCACTAGTCCTCCAAGCACCCAGCATGCCACTGAGAAGTGCACACCTCTAATGGATTCTAACTAGCCAATAACAATTGGTATATGAGGCTTAATTTAAGGCCTGGGTTGTAGTCACAGCCACTCATTTTCTGTGTCATTACAGACAAGCTATTTTACCTTTCTGGAATCAACGTCTTCATCTGTAAAACAGGGAAATGGTTTGTAAAACTATGATCACTAGCTCTAATACCGTAGTACTCTGTATCACAAACTTAATACATTTTATACTTCCTTAATACGGGTGTTGATGTAATTCTTTTCCCTTATTGGGTTCATAGTTTTCATCAAATTATCAGAGGGGTCTGTATTATACAAAAAGGGTAAGAAACCACATATACAATGTTAAATACAAATCATAAAAAGATTTTCTTTTTGAAATGATGCTCATTACCAGGCAGCTTTTAAATGAATTGGGTGTTTTGAGCACCTTGGCCAGGAAAAAAACAAACACTTGCTGTTTTATTAATTAAATGTAGTAAATTCAGAACTGGAAAGAGCACTGGCAAGTTAAACCCAATTGTAGGAAATAGGATAACACTACATTTTTGCCTCGGAATACTTATTTTTCACTTGAACTGTTCACATGCCCTTTCAGCCCTTCTGAGCTCCAAATCCCCTTATCCAGCTGCCTACCCGACACCTCCACATGAGCGCCAAGTTTTCTCTTCCAAATCGATTCTCCAGCTTTCCTCGCCCTGTAAGACTTCAAACCAGAAACCTAAAGTCACTGTTGACATGTCCTTCTCACTGACCGGCCAACTATCACCAAGTTCTATCAAATCCATCTCCAAGTCTATCTCAAGTCATCCCTCCCTCTCTTCCCCCAACTCCTTTGCCCTCCAGCTAGGGTCCAAACCATCATTTGTTGTAGCCTGGACCTCTGGCTAAGATTCTTGTATTATTGTTGTAGTTTTGTTAATCTTCACCTGAGGATATTTTTCTCATTTTTTAGAGAATAGAAAGGAGGGAGGAGAGAGAAACTTCCACTTAAGAGACACGTGGAGCAGCCCGCACCTGCCCCTGGCAGTGCCCAAGTACCTGCCCTAGACCAGGAATTGAACCCTCGACCCTTCGGTGCTCAGGCCGACTCTCTAACCACCAAACCACACCGGCCAGGGCTCCAATAGATTCTGAAATGTTCTTAAATTCTTCCGGTTGCTACAGAGACAGTTTTATGACCCTGACAAAATCTGGGCAGAGTGGAAATCGGGTCCCGTCATTCCCCTACTTGAAAGGTTTTCTATTGCCGTCCACTAAATTCAGAATAAAACCCCACAGCTCCAGGCTTCACAGCCAAGAACGTGGGTTCTCGGAATCTGCCAAGCGTTTTCCTGAGGGCCTTGACATGAAGTGTTCTACCCGAATGTTCCATTCGTACAATAAGGCTAAACTTCCATATCCTCAAAACTAAAATTCCATTGACTGTGAGCATTTGCTAGGAAAGGGAACTGACATCATCATTTTTTTTTTTTTAAGTTGATAACCCTGGAATGTATTTAGGGACTGCACTTTCTCGGAGACACTCAAGGGGAAGGGAGTAAGACAGGTCTTCCCATAGAACGCCAGCAAGCACTTTGGGGGAGCAGGGCACTCAGCAGAAATTCCCTGGCGACTCTGGGAGAACTCCCCGCAGGCCCTGCCCCTCCTCCCCCATCCGATCCGAGGCAGCCTAGCTCATCAGAGCTGCGCCCCTGCGTTCCGGGGTGGCTCGGGTGCACGGGGTTCCGGGGTGGCTCGGGTGCACGGGGTTCCGGGGTGCCTCGGGTGCACGGCGTCCCGGGGTGGCTCGGGTGCACGGGGTCCCAGGGTGGCTCGGGTGCACGGCGTCCCGGGGTGCCTCGGGTGCACGGCGTCCCGGGGTGCCTCGGGTGCACGGCGCAGCTCCTTTCCAACAGCTGAACTTGAACTAGGTGGATCACTACTGCACGAAGGAGGAGCATGGCCTCCAAGGTCAGAGGCCAGCGAACCGTGGTCTCCACTCTCAAATGCAAATTGCACGGAAGTCCCAGTCGCCCCAGGCTTACAAGTGCTTCCTCCTTAACCCAGACCATCCTCTGGGGTGGACGCTGCTGGTTTTTTCAGTCCCCTTTACTGGTGTGGAGACTAAGCTGTAAACCCAGGACCCCCGACTCCCCGCCGAGACGGGACGCGAAACCGGGCCTGGGGAGGGCAAGCCCGCCAGCGGGCGAGGAGAGGGGGCGCGGCTCACCTCGGAGAAGGGCCATGGCGACGGCAAGGGCAGGCGGCGCAGGGGTTCTCCTCCGCGATGCAAAGGGGCCGCCGCCAGCACCCAGACCTTAAGGGCGGGGGGCGGTGCCCGCGAGGCCCCGCCCGCGCCCTTTCACCTACTTCCGGACCCGCGCCCGCCCCGCCCGCTGAGCTCAGCTCCCCTCGGACGGGACGCTGCGGTCCGGGCGCCATCCCTGGGGGGACCAATCGCCCTGGGGAGGCGGGCCTTGCAAGTGTTTTTTGTTGTTTTTTTTTGCCTCAAATCATTGTCTTTAACCACTTGAGTGCCAACCAATATGCTAAAATCGCCAAGGCATTTTTGCTGATTTTACAGCAGTTTAGGAAAAAAATTATGAATCGCAAGTAAATGAAGTTACATATTCAAAAACTTAAGGACACCTTTACTACATTTGTTTTCTGCACTTAGGTGCCGTCTGTCACTGAAGCGTGAACTACTAGCCTCTAATAGTGACACTGCAGGAGGCGATGGCGCTCCCAGCGCTTTTGGCGAAAGACAGGAGGAGCGCGATCGCGCTCCCTGGCACTCTAGGGGTGAGACTGTACCTGTTTCCAAATCAAGAGAATGACGTGACTACCCTATCCATCCTTCCCCGGCCTCTGCAACTAATCTTCCCTTTCTTCCCGCCTGAGAATTCCCTTAAACCTCGGGTTAGACTTGCGGCGACGCGTTGCGCGGGTTTGCGGGAGGTGGGGTCCAGGTGGGCGGGACCGGACGTTGTGTGGGCGGGGCTTGGAGGACGGCACGGCGATTGGTTGAGTGGCTCCAGGGGCGGGCTTTGGCGTAGAGCTGGGGCTGAGGCCGAGGCAGCTAGGCGGGCGGCGGTGGCTGGGTCGGGTTGCAGAGTGGGGGCGGGGGGGTTGGTGTGGGGGCGCTGTAGCGAGGGTCGTAGGGCAGGGTGTCCCCGGGTCCCCAATGCAGCCCCGGATGAGCCTGCAGTATTTTCCTTATATGATTGGGCCCCACGGCTGGCGGCGGCGCTTGCCCGGAGCCTAAGAGGATTATAAAGGGTCCGGCGAAGTGGGGCCGGGGGCCCGGGGCCGGGGGCGGAGAGGGGCAGGGGGTCCGGCTGGAGGTGCGGGAGGCGTGGGGAGGCCGCCTCCGCTGTCACTGCTAGCCCTGGTCGGTGATGAGGAGACACTGCGCAATCTGAGTCCTGGGGACCCGCTGATGGCGTGTGCTCGGACTGAGGCCGGGCGAGCAGGCGGCGGCGGGGCGGGGAGGCGGGAGGCGACCCAGGCGGCTCTGGGAGGGTGGTGCGAGGCCGTGAGGTTTTCTGTGATGCGGGCGGGCGTACCCCTCCCCCCCCCCCCCGCTTTGTTTACAACGTCTGGGTGGCCCTCTCACATTGTTTTCTGATTGCATTTTTTTTATTGTAAAAACTTTTGAACATAAAGAAGATCCACCATCTATTCTATAGTCTACAGTTGGTAACATTTTACCATATTTGCTGTATCACATCCTTCCATCTGCAGAACTTAGTACAATTCACCGCACGTATTAGAGGTCAATATTTATTTACAGTTCTTCTTAAGGCAAAATTCTCATGCAATCAAATGTACAAATCTTAAACTGGATGAGTTTCGCAAATGTATACACTCTTATAACCCAAACCACTCTGGGCTATCAAATATAATTAGGACACGTCCATCATCCAGAAACGTGCTGCATATGCCTTGCCACAGGCCGCCTCCCAGCCAGCCACTGTTCCCTTTTTCTCACCGTCCACTGTAATCTGACCCTCTGCTCTGCTCCTTTTTCCTTCCTGCCGGTTTAAGTGAACCCTGAACTTTGGCAGTCGACTCGGTACACACTTTAACAAATATGTATGCTCCTTTTTCATAAGTGTATATAGTCCATGGAATTTGGACTTTGAGTTGATCAAAGCTTACCGCGCATTTGATGGTGGGCTTTTTTTTAAAAAAAAAAAAAACAAAAAACAAAAACCCTGCATCTCCTGGAAGATGAACAGGGAATAATAATAAAAATGAAAGCTGCCATTTTTGGACACTGTGTGCCCAGCAATTGAACCAGGCGCTTACATACACTGTGTAAAATTTGCACGCCCAGGTGGTATAATAATTACTCTATAAAATAGAATAACATACACTTCTTCCACATCAGAGAAATCTGAATTGAGGGGCATTCTGCAGCCCCATGAGATAGGGGTTTTTCCTTTCTCATTTTGTAAGTCAGGAAGCTTAGGCTCAGAGAAACCAAAGAACTTCTAAAGATTCAAAACTAGAAAATTGCTGAATTAGAATTTTGAGCCCTCAATTCTCAGAAGCCCAAGGCTCATGTTGTGTCCAGGGCTTACAGGATGTGGGATATAGGAGTAGGGTAGAAAAAGACAAGTATTGTTAGCTAGATGTTATAGAAAACAGGAAAGGAGGAAACAATAAAGTATTTGGAAAGAAATCTGGCTAAGGATAACTTTCTATGCTTGTCAATGTATGGTGGTTTAGTTTCAACTTCACTATCTTTCTTTTGTTTCTAAATAATAGGGTTAAGTCAATTTTATCTTTTAAATGTCATTTACACACGTGTAACAGAAATATTTCTTATTATGAATGACAGTGAACGCTCACCTGCTAGGGAAAAAAAAAAAAAGGATAAATGTGTCTTTACCTGCTGGTGCTATTGAGAAATGTTAATTAGAAGTAGATGAAGAGAAGTAAAATGCTTGGATAATGATGCCATTTGAGATGTGATTTTTGTGATCCATAAAAACAACTTATCCATGAGTGAACTTCCATTAAGTTTCATGTTCAAGGAAAGCACTGGGAATGGCTTTTAAAACCATCTCCATTGTACTTTAGCTACTTTTTAATAGGTAACAAGAATACAAATAATTGACCAGGAAATCAAAACAGCTTATATGAAAGACTGCCACTGTGGTGACTTTCTAAATGTTAAATACAGTATGCACAGTAAAAATGATTGGAATACTAGATTGATAAATCTTTAGGTTTTTGAAATGTGGTGATGGCTGTTAAAAGACGTATAAAATAGTTGCTTTATTCCTAATTTTTTTTTCAGATCTCAGGATAGGTTTTTTTCTGGGCTCCAGTTATGAAATGGGTAAGTCTTGAATTTTTACAGAAGTTACTGAAAAAAATATCTTTAATAACTCATTAATTTGAAGTAAGTTTCATGAAGGATGTACTTTTAAATGTTCATGGTATACTTCTAAATTATTTCATGCAAGTATTTTCAGAGGGGTCATTTTTACTGTCTAAAGCACCACTTTAGTTTTTTCCTGAACTCCTTAGGTCAGAAGCCTTCTGGGAACAAATTTGTTGTAAAAAAGATTACCATTGTGAGCTCCCGGGACATGAAACATTCTAAAACTTTGTGGCTAAGTATAACATTAAACTAGCTAGAGCCGAAACTAGTTTGGCTCAGTGGATAGAGCGTCGGCCTGCGGACTGAAGGGTCCCAGGTTCGATTCTGGTCAAGGGCATGTACCTGGGTTGCGGGCACATCCCCAGTAGGAGATGTGCAGGAGGCAGCTGATTGATGTTTCTCTCTCATCGATGTTTCTAACTCTCTCTTTCTCCCTTCCTCTCTGTAAAAAATCAATAAAATATATTTTAAAAAATAAACTAGCTAGAAACCCCCAACTAACTTTTATTATAACTTAGTACTAGAACTGAAGATACTAGCACCAAAATAGAGGCAAGGAAAGTTACTCTCAGAAAGTAGGATTTATCCCAGGGTGTATATTAACATCTGATAAATGGTAGTGTCTTGGAGTTCGGACTCCAGGACCAATGCTTTTACCCTATGTCAGTGTTTTCATTCCTAAAGTTCTCATTTTGCTGAAGTTCTCCCTGAGTTACTTGATTCTACTCTCAAGGTTGGTGCGCATCCTTATGACCATTTTTTTTTAACTCTTTATCTGACAAATTCTCTCGGTTTCACTGGCTTTAGTTTCTGGGGATTTTGTTTTGTTTTTTGTTTTGTTTCTTCATCTGAGAGATATTCTTCCGTCTTTCGTTTTGTTTGACTTTCCACATTTGTTTATATGACTTAGACAAAATAGCTCGCTCTCACAGTCTTGAAAACATGGGCTGTGTAGAAGTGACCTCTGTGTAAACTGGGTACCAGGTGGTCTTGGCAGGGCTGTTTGAGCCAGGCGGGCACTCGCTGTGCCAGGCCCGAGTGGCCAGTTGTGTGTTGTGACATCCTGTTGGCTCTGCTTGCTCCCTTTGGGCTCCCGGCCAACATGGGCCCCAGGCAGTTTGGCTGGGAACGCACTGCTGCAATCTTGCAGGTAGGCCAGAGCATAGGAATAGGCCACGCCCATCCTATCGAGCTAGAAGGTAAACATTAGTGTTTACGGGCACCTCCAAGCCTCCATCCCCCCAGATTTCGGAGAGCTCTCATGATTTCCTGACCTTCTCCATTCACTTTGCTTGTTGTGCAGAAGCTGTTCAATGAGCCTTTGGTTGTCTCAGGAGGAAATGCTATATGTATATAGTTGTATATTTTTGTGTGCTCGTCAGGGGGAGAGTTCAGGGTCCTTCTGTGCTGCTACCATCTTGAACTTCCTCACATGTTGGTCTATCCCTCCTGTTTCATTGGTCAGAATTGAGGTGTATGCCCCTGCCATAGCTGCAGACATAGTTTTCCTGCTGAGGTCTTTTTTTTTTTTTTTTAAGACATACACTATTATATTAGCTTCTGATATACAACCCAGTGACTAGACATTTATATAACTTACAAAGTGATCACCCCAATAAACCTAGTACCCATCTGACACCATACATAGTTATTATTGACTATACTAATATTCCCTATGATGAACTTGATCTCCCGTGACTGTTCTGTAACTAGCAATTTGGTACTTGTTAGTCTCTTCACCTTCTTAACCCATCCTCCCAACTCCTCTTCCTTTTGGCAACCGTCAGCATGTTCTCTGTATCTATGAGTGTTTCTGGTCTGCTTGTTTGTTTATTTTGTTTGGAATCCACATATAAGTGAAATCATATGGTATTTGTCTTTCTCTGTTTGACTTCTCTCACTCAGCACAATGCCCTTTAGGTCCATCCATGTGGTTGCAAATGGCAAGATTTCATCCTCTTATTTTTCACTTATCTATAGATACAAAAGGCTAATATGCAAAGTGTCCCCTCGGGGGTTCAACAGGGAGACCGGGAGTTCGATCGATCGCTATGACGTTCACTGACCACCAGGGGCCGGTGCGGAATGAAGGAAGGCCCCAGCCAGCAGCTGGAAGGCCCTGATCGGCCCTGATCGCCGGCCAGGCCTAGGGACCCTACCCATGCATGAATTTAGTGCACTGAGCCTCTAGTATTTTATAAACTCTTTCATACAGATCTTGTAAATATTTTCCCACTGATTTTTTTTAATGCCATCCTTACCAGGAGCAAAGTTATACATATGACTGAGTCTGTTCCTACACCCAAACTGCCTTGTTTGAATTCTTTAGCTTTAATTTCTCAATAAGTCTTGTTATTTTATGGGGAATGTGTCCCCCACCCCAACTTTTGCAGGCTGTAGTTCGCTAACCTCTAGTTTAAACAATCATGATGCGTGTTTGAATATAGACCCCAGAATGATATTTCTCAAGAAAGCATTAAAAAATAATCTTTTCAGCCAATATATAGCTACAGAATTTTAAATTTCATTTAGATCTATCACAGCACTTTATTTATTCAAAAGTATTTATTTCCACAAATTTTTATTCATAGTTGAATATTACAGTGACTAGTACAAGCATTTTTCTATAAACAAAGGTATAGTTTACAGATTTGTTCAAAATGAAAAAATATTTTTATTAGTGTTTCTTCTACAATGTCAGATTCACTCCTGAATAAGTGCACCCTGTCAGAGAGGCAATCCTTCATCTAAACATCAGTTGGTGGCAAAGTGTTATATACAAATCTGGATTATTCTGATATGTGTCACCTTAGAAAGTAGCTTAAATTCATTTGATTGACCCCTTTATCTGAATTAGATTTTTTTTTTTGAGGAAAAACTGTCTTTAGTATCTAGTGACCTTTATAATAAGAGAAAAAAAGTCTTGTGTTTTATTATCAATGGCATAAACCACTATTTTTCTGAATACCCCCTAGTTTTCTAATTATGGCACCAATGTGTATAAAAAGTGAATTGTGGATATTTGGCTCATGCAGCAAATTAATTTGAGAAACAGACTGCAGAGAAATA